GCAGCATCATCATCAGCATCCACATCACCATCATCAGCAGCAACGTCAACATCATCATCATCACCATCACCATCATCATCAGCATCAGCATCATCACCATCATCATCATCACCACCATCAGCATCATCATCATCATCATCATCATCGTTGACACGTCAATCATCATCACCACCATCAGCATCAGCTTACAATCATCATCACAACAGCATCAGCATCATCATTCTCATCATTTTTTTTTTTTTAAATCAATCCAATCATCAGCATCTATCATCATGATGCTAATGCTGATGATGCTGCCTGCTGATGATGCATGATGCTCAGCCGCACCAGGACAGCTGACGACCTCATCATCACCATCAACAGCATCATCCCATCATCATCCACCATCACCACCATCATCATCCCGATCCAGCTTCCAATCATCATCATCAGCATCATCATCATCATCATCATCAGCATCATCGTCATAATCATCATTATCATCATTATCATCATTATCATCATCATCAGCAGCATCATCCGCATCAGCATCAGCATCATCATCAGCAGCAGCAGCATCAGCACCATCGTCGTCATCAGCATCAGCAGCATCATCATCAGCATCCACATCACCATCATCAGCAGCAACGTCAGCATCATCATCATCATCATGATCATTGATCATGATCATGATCATCATTATAAATCATCATCAATCATCATTATCTCATTAATCATCATCGATCATCATCATCACATCATCATCATCATCATCATCCTCATCATCATCATCATCATCATCCATCATCGGCCATCAATCATCGCATCATCTGCAATAGACCTGCCCGAAAGCCCGCAGTCATCATCATCATCATCATCATCATCATCATCATCATCGTGAGAGGTCAAGGATCGTCGCCGCCCTCGAGGCTCGAGCCGCCGCGACCCGAGGGCTCGGGGAGCGTCGCCGCCCTCGCTGCCGCCTCGAGGCGAGGGGCGAGGGCCGAGACTCTCGAGCATCGCGGCTCGAGGGCTCAAGGAGCGTCGCCGCCCTCGCCGTCGCCTCGAGGGTCGAGGGTCGAGCGCCTGCACTGTTGGAGCCCGACGTCGAGCCCGAACGGGCCGATGGTAATTACACGGAACGTAGGACGGTCTAGTGTTGTTCGACTTTGTTGTCCAGTGCCAAACATCCTGGAGCCATCGGCGGCTTTGCGTGGCGGGCTGCGGTGAGCAGACAAACGTTCGCGTGTCACACGTATCTCAAGTCATCGAACGGGCTCGATATGGAGCGTAGTTCCCGACACCATGCTGGAAGTGCGGCTATTCGTCTTCACCGCCTTGTCGATGCCTTCCCCGGCCGCTGGCGCTATGGCGCGAATGTGTTGGTGGTTCTGGTGAGTCCAGGACTATGTCGAAGTGGATCTAGCGACAATCGGGCGGGGAGACGAGGATACATCCGTCCCAGAGCGTTCCAGAACGCTCTCAGAGCGTTCTGGAACGCTTTGAGAAGGCCGCGGCGCCCGAGACATCCTCCAGAGCCGCGGGATCTCAGAGATTATCGATTTATCCTCGCCCGATGTTATCCTCGTCCTGGCTTCGCCTTAGAGCTCTGGGCAGAATGTCGAAGCGGATTTGGCGATAAGGGCGCCTCAGCGGTTCCCCCCAGCAAAACGAGATGCCGAAAACCTCTCGTCCCTCGAACCTCGGCCCCCGGGCCAACCCTCGCGCACATCCTCCCCCCCTCTCCGTCGCCGCCCTCTCCGTCGCCGCCCCCCCCGTCGCCGTCCGGCCGTCGCCGTCCGCGCCGTCGCCGTCGTCGTCGCCGCCGCCGCCGTCACCGCCGCCGACGACGACGCCGCAGCGGCCGCCCATGCCGTTGCGGCGTCGTGATTTTGGTCGCATCGCGGTGTCCCAGAGGTCTGGACCCACTCTGCGCGGTCCCGAGGTGGCCTGACGGCCCTGGGGTCCTGGTGAGGCCCCCCCCCTGGTGGCCGACAAACGGGACAAAGCTCACGTCGCGTTTTTTTCGCGACGAGAGGAGCAGGAGGAGGAGGAGGCGGAGGAGGAGGAGGAAGAGGAAGAGGAGGAGGAGGAGGAGGACGAGGTAGAGGAGGAGGAGAACGAGGAGGAGAACGAGGAGGAGGAAGAGGAGGAAGAGGAGGAGGAGGAGGAGGAGGAGGAGGAGGAGGAACAGGAGCAGGAGCAGGAGCAGCACCAGGAGCAGGCGTCACAGGAGCAGGCGTCATGCTGGGTGCCGCCGTCGCCCCGCGCCCGGAGCGCGAGGCCCCCGCGGCGGACGGCTGCCGCCGCGCGGCGCAGCTGCTGCGCGCCGCCGAACGGCGGCTTCTCGGCGACCTGGAGCGGCGCCTGGCGGGCCGCCTGGCGCGCGGCGCGTGGCGGCGGCGGCGGGCGCGCGCCGCCGCGCGGGCGCCCGCGAGAAATCGCCATCGCGGCGGCCGCGCCTTGCCTCGGCACCTCCGCCCCCGACTCGGCTCCCCCCCACCCCTCGCCTCGGCGCCTC